CACACGTGGCTGGGTGCTCCATACAGCGGGAACGATAGAATACAGGGTCTGCAACTGTCTCCGGTTGTCATTGAAATGATGACATTCCTGCCGAAGATGCCTCAAACTTGGCCAAGGATGATCACAAAACTTGCAGCATCGAGAGCAATCGTACTGTCCGTTTGTGCGCGTACGAGACTGACCAGCTCCAGACAGAGAGATGTTGACCAAGGAACGACCTTCCTGCGACAAAGTCTTCAGCCAGTCAGTCCACTTTTTTGAGCTCAGCACCTCAACGTCGATGTCGGCTGAGCCCTCGGAGTCATTGCGGAACACGTGGATGCTCTGGAGGCACCGAATCCGCGCCACAATTCGTACAGCATGCTGCGCAGCACCGTCACGGGTCCAAAAGACATTGGAAGCCCCTCGGCATTGGGCGGTGGCCTGGAGGATACGAGAATCGTCATCGTCGGCCACACGAAATTTGATTCCCCATTCGGGATGTTTCCCAAGGTACTCCAAGCACAGCTGGTCGAAATAATTGGCCAAGGCATGGGTGAGGTGCTGGCTCGGGACAAACTTCTCGGACAGCACGGCTCTCATCGCCTGCAGGGCGGGCGAGAACAGGGGATGCAAGGAGACACGGCGGCACCACCACCGTCTTGCGCACCACCACGAACAGTTTGTCCTGATGATGGCCCGAAACACCTGGCCCACAATGGGCCGCAATGGGCCGCGGGACCAGGTCGATGAAGGGCACAGCCCACATCCAAAGCGGGCGAATGTAGGCTGCACACAAACACCCTCGTACATATGCCGCTCCAGCTCGAGCCCGCAGGTAGCCTCCTCGGCTGACCACGATGCTACAGCATGAATAGCTGCCGCTCCGCGCTGGCAGGCAGGCTGGTTGTCAGCAGGCTGGGGCAGGGCTGAAGCCATGGCGGTGAGCCGCGCGCGCAGGAGGCAGGAGGCGACGGAGGTCGGTCTGCTTTCGTGTTCGTCCCTTTGGGGGATGCCGACCACCCGCCAGGGAAAGACAGCATCGGCTACATCTCGTGGAAAGATGGCCTCCACTCTCCACAGGCAGGCGTGGCGTGGCGGCCCATGCCTCGCACAGCTCCGTGACTGGGCAAGGCAGGGCGATGCGGATCGGCTCCATCTCTCCGAGGCCGCCCAGTCATCCGTGCCGGCGGCGCCTCTGGTACTCTTGACGGCTGTCAGGAAGCATTGGAGGGATGGGATCCATTCGCGAGATTTCTCCGATTTCAGGGAAGTCAACGTTCTGGGCCCAGGCGTGCCACTTCTCGACCTTCGGCTGCGACTCATGCTCCGCGGGGCTCCGGGCAGGGCCCCACTCAGCACGCGTCCCAGCAGCAGCTAACCCCGCGGCAGGCGAGGCTTGCTTGAAAACGACGTCGCCACAGTCCACAGCTCGAAACTCCACTGCCAGAAGTCTGACGCCCAGTTCCGACATCTCTCATCAGCAATCTTCGAGTACTCGAGAAAGATGGATTAGTTGAGGACCTCAAGGACTTGGCCATAACTCGGCCAGCCGTCGATATGCCCACACAACCGATCCATTCCCAGTTGGGCGAAACTCTCCATGTGCCTGACGTCGGTCGTTCTTGTCATACACCTGGACGTGCCACTTGACTTTGTCACTGCAACTTCGATGGAGATGCTTGAGACGACGAAGGCCTGCACTTTCATGCAGCCGATGTGCAGTTGGAGGCGCAGTAGAACGTGAGGTAGGCGCTGAGCCCTTTTCCCGCTCGGGCTTCCGCTTCGATCTAAGTCCAGTTCGTGGCCGAGGTCAAGTTTGGCCTTGTTTCGGCGCGACGATGCCACGACCGCCACTTGCTCAGGACAGAGTCGGAGGATGATGCACAGGGGTGAGATACATCCAAAGCGTTCTGTATCTCAGCAATATCATGCTCATTGACAAAAGCGGTACGGCCAGCAGCAAAGTGAGCTGTGTGTCGAAGGCGTTTAAGCTGTCTGGCTGGCACGTGCACGGGGACTGAAAAAGAACAAAGTCCATGATGAGGTATGCCTTGCACAAAAGATGCTTGCTCCAAAGTCGGGGCGATGTCATCGCCCGCTGTCCAGCGGATGGCTCGAGTCGGGCTGGCCCCGGCCGTGGAAGTGGGGAGACTCGCCCCGGACAGGTGCCAAGCTGGGCTGCGCACGTTCACGTGGAGGGCGGTCCAGTTCAGGTCGCCTATCATCACGACATTGTCCCCCAGCGTCTGGCCCAGCTCCACGGCCTTCGCGAGCCAAGCAGCGTCGGGCTTGGCGGGGCCGCAGGTGGAGACTACGGTGGTGAACGCCGCGCTGACCCCCACGACACCGTGGCCCTGCTCCTTGCTGCGCAGGGCCTTCCTCTTGCCGACGGTGCGCTTCCACAAGACTGCCGTACATCCTTGAACCATTCCACCGTGACCACCATGAAGTTTTGGGGAGCGTCGGGCGAGCCTTCTGGGAGCCGCCTGGGGCGTCCTGGCGGTTCCTTCGGGGCGCCTGGGAGCCTCGTGGGGGCCCCTGGAGGGCCTCTTGGGTCCTGGGGCCCCCTAGGGGGGGGATGGCACTCTGACCCAGGACCCCCCTCCCGGGACACCCCCCGGAAACCCCCCGCGCTACCAGGACCCCCCGCCCTGCCTCCCCCCCAGCGGGGAGGAAGGGATCAAAGGGAATGGGCTCCCCTTCGACTCAACTACGACGTTGCTCACTTTCGCTTTGGCTGGTTCGCTTTGGCTGGCGCGCTTCAGGAGGAGGGCCCAGGGAAAAGGGGGGAGCGGCGACGGCAACGGCGACGGCGACCGCGACGGCGACCGCGACGGCGACGGCGACGGCGACGGCGACGGCGACGACGACGACGACGAGTCAAACGAAACAG